GGGGTGTCCATCCTTAACAATACCAAGAACAAAATCATTAGTCGGCAAAGACAAACAAGAAGGAGGATTAGTGCATCTAGTTTACAAGGACGGCAATGTGCCAATGACTAACAAGAAAGGATTGGATTGGATTTGATGATGATGTATGTACTCACGTCATCATTGGACTGAATTTCTTGTTTGATTTTTGGCGTAGGCGCCGATGTCGTCCATATTACTAAGGATTCAGCGAAGTCGAAACTGGAGTAGATGGATGGATGAATGGATGATGTTTCGGCACGTGTGGTCGTACGCACACAAACAGAGAGAGAGAAGACTCTTGGTTTCAGACCAGACGAGATCACTAGAACCACACAAACAAACAAGACTTATAGCAAACACTCTCTATAAATACTCCTTCAAAATTCAAATGACGAAGCAGCAGCTACATTCATAATTCATTATTGGCAACTCACTCTGTCTGCATTCATTATAGTAAAGCAACTAGTAAAGCAATTAATAAATCAATGGCGAGTGAGGAGGGAGTGATCAATATCATAAGGAACAAGCAGGTGATTCTGAGGGACTACGTGTCTGGCTTCCCCAAAGAATCCGACATGCAAGTGGTGAGCAGCGGCACTATAAAGTTGAAGCTTCCAGAAGGTTGTGAGGGGGTTTTGGTGAAGAACTTCTACTTGTCGTGCGATCCTTACGTGAAGGGACGCATGACCAAGCGCGATCCTGGCTCCCGTTATCTCGATTCCTTTAACCCTGGTTCGGTCAGTCTCTCTGCTCTGCTTTTCTCTGCTTTTTTTTTATAACACATGACATCATAACTGATTGAGATTGTTGGCTGTGCAGCCTATAAGCGGATATGGAGTGGGTAAAGTGTTGGAATCTGGAGATCCCAAGTTTAAGGAAGGCGACTTGGTTTGGGGAATTACCGGGTGGGAAGAATACAGTCTCATCACTGGCACTGCAACTCAGTCTTTGTTTAAGATTCACAACACCCACGACGCCCCTCTCTCTTACTATACTGGAATTCTTGGTATATTATTATTATGCTAATGATGCTATAGGCTATAACTGCTGCTTCTGCTATCATCTCAGGTAGTTGCTTTTTTATGTATAGGTATGCCTGGAATGACTGCTTATGCTGGTTTTTATGAGGTTTGCTCTCCTAAGAAGGGAGAGACAGTGTTCGTTTCAGCAGCATCTGGAGCAGTAGGTCAGCTTGTTGGCCAGTTTGCAAAGCTCTCTGGTTGCTATGTTGTTGGTAGTGCTGGAACCAAACAAAAGGTCACTAATCCTTCCTTAGCTTATCTGCTTAGCTGCTTTCTCTTTTATTCAACAATTCTCTGTCTATAATTATAATACTATTTCTGTGAGTTAAGGTTGATTTGCTGAAGAACAAGTTTGGTTTTGACGAGGCTTTCAACTATAAAGACGAACCTGACCTTGATGCAGCTTTGAAAAGGCCAGTATCACATTAATTAGTGCTTGTTGCTCCTCTTTCTATATATATATTCCATTATTTTGGTGTAAAATAAACATCTAAAAAATGTATGATCTTTGTTAACATAACAGGTACTTCCCTGAAGGAATCGATATATACTTTGATAATGTTGGGGGAAAGATGCTTGATGCAGTGCTACTAAACATGAAGATGAATGGCCAAATTGCAGCTTGTGGGATGATCTCACAGTACAACCTGGAGCAGCCTGAAGGTGTACACAATTTATTGTCTCTGATCATGAAACAAGTCCACTTGAAGGGCTTCCTGGTTTTCAATTACTATCACCTTTACGGAAAGTTTCTTGAAACGGTTCTGCCTGCCATAAAAGAAG